GTCTCCTTTCCCTCGTATTGACGGGCGGACTGCCCCTTCTCAGGTGCTGGGCGGCCCGACCGTGGCGCCCGGAAGTGAGGTCATCAGTGCGGCGCCAGCGTCCTGGCGTCGGGACGGGCGGCTAGTGCCCTAGGGGGCGTCACTCTGAACTCAGTCAGTATATGCGTAAAATGTGTCGTTGTCCGAGACGGTGCGCGCGCGCTCACGCATTTACCCCCAGGTGCGTAGATAATAAGGCTTCTCTGGAAGGGCACAGGGCCGAAACACAGAGTTGTCTCATTACACACCATGAAGTTCTATATTATGCTACATTAAAGGGGAAAAATTGTGTGTTCTGCCTGGAATTCGGACGCCACTGTGAGAAAAGGATTTGGTAGGTTGTTCGTTACTCCATTTTCCGAGGAGCTATCACCAAGCCTAAAGGCGTGGCCTGAGATACCTGGTATTTTAAGAGACAGTGGAAACTAGCGGCGCCTTCAAGGACCTGCACGGTTCCCAGAGGACGGAAGCGTTTCCCGCCGGACAGTCTATACTCTTACTCCCAGTTCTTCACTTGAAAAGGTGCCGGGCTGGTTCGTTTTTGTGGTAAAAATAAAAGGGGATTGTGATGTTCACTTACCTTCAAACACTTAATGTCCATTTTTCACAATACATTATGTAAAAAACTTCAGCATAGTATGTCCTTATATTCTTGCACCTCCACTTTTTTTTTTTGGTATGTGACCTTAATACCGTAATGTTTGAATAGATTTATCCTAAGAGACTTTCTTCTTCCCTGCTAGGCGTTAAGCAAAAAAGGTTTTTACTAAGGTTGGCAGAGCTGGCGCATATACCTATGCCTTGCAAAGTAAAGTTCTTGGTTAAAAAAAAGATGAATAAATCACAGTTGGGAAGTCACAGTTATAGCCTAGTGGTAGGTAGATATGTAAATCAATAATTACCAGAATGTTGTGGAAATATTTTTAAGTGAAACTTATGTTTTCAAGTTTTCACTTTTGTGTGGCAATAACAACAAAGTGGCACCTACTATGTGCTGGCACTGTTGCAGATTAATTTAACCCTCCCAACAATCTCATGAGGTAGTTACTGTCTTCATTTTATACATGAGGTAACTGGTTACTAGAATTCAGTGATTTGCAGGTCATACAATTAGGAAGTGCACAGCTAGGATTAGAAATCAGGCATCTAGCTCTGGAGTCTGTTTTCTTAACTGCCAGAAAATAACATTTTTCCTAGGCTGCATTGTTGACCCAAAAGGGAAAAAAAGAAAAATTAAGACCTAAAGGTTAAAAAAATTAGTAATCCTGTCCGATTGGCTATGATAGGTCAGAGGTGGTTTTCTGTTATGCACTGGAATCTAGCATAACATAAAACTTTTTACATCTGGCATTTTCTTGCAATTTGAATTATGTTCAGCAGGTGTGTCCCAATGCTCTCCTGTGCTGTCAAGTTATCCTTATTGTGTGTGCTGGTATCATTGGTAGATCCCTTATCTAGGCACTCTTGGCTGGTGTTGAGTCTGAATGTTGCATGATGTAAAACAGAACTTTAGGTCACAATGAGGCATTTTATTCTTCCTTTGATTGAGTGCATGTTAATAGAAATGGCACTTATACCCATCCCGCATATTTGTCAAGTGAAGGTATTCATCTTCCATGTTCTTTATTGCAGTAGAGAACTGGGGAAAAGGCATGGGCACTCTCTGGGGCCTGTCTAGGCTTTCATCAGATCAAATCATATGGTCTGAGTGCCACTCATGGGCATTCTCACTAAAATATGACCTAACCACTGAAACTTCCACTTGAATTGAGAGTTCCAAATAAATCTAAATATGCTCATTTTGTCTCTGCTATTATCTAACTTTACATTTGTAAACTTCAGAGGAAAAATATATACAGAAGAATCCTTACAATACTCATTCCCTAATTATGTCTTACTAAATTGGACTTTATCACGTATTTATTGGGCTCTTCCCTTCGGGCTAGAACCTTATTCATTGTAGAGATAAAATATCCATTCCTTATCTTCAAGAAATCGAGTTTAGTAACAGGCAACTGCAATACAGCATTATGGAAAGTGTCCATTGAGAAAGTTGCTTGGGTGGTGTAGCTTGCCACAGATGTATCCATAGTCTAGCAAGACGTTGGTGTGATTGCTGGGCTTCAATATCTGATTCTTATCTAGGCTTGAAACTGGTTTATCAGAAGTGACCGGACTATGGGGTACTTAGTCACACATTCAATTTTCTAATAAACTATGTAAAAACCATTATTCTAATGTATTAATTTATGAGAAATACAACAATGAAGGAGCTAGGGTAGTTGAGCTGGCTGGTCCTTGCCTTCTCTGTGTTGACCAAATTACAATGAAAGTCAGATCCCAACTACAATCAGATGATTGTTTGGTAAATATGGAATGGAAGCAACAGAAATTAGTTCAGTGCTTTTTAATGGCTAATATTTTGAGCTTGATGCACTCCTTCCCACTTGAGTCACCTACTTCTCTTACCTTCTTCATAGGTTGGATTGTGCTAAAAATAGTCATTTGCCTCTCTCCTAAGTTTCTTTGTTAATAAGTATCTTTTGATATGAAGCTTTCATATTTTGCTTTTTGGAAGATATTTTGCTTTTTCTTTTGTTTGCTGAGCCATTATACTTATTTTACAAATTTACCCTAAGATGATTTTAAACATTTTTAGGTGTACAGTTCGATGGTATTAAGTACATTCATATTGCTGTGCAACCCTCACTACTATCCATCTCCAAAACTTTTTCATCTTCCCTAATTCTGCATCCATTGAACACTAATCCCCCTACCCCACCCCCCTCCAGTCCCTGGCAACCACCATTGTCTCTGCTTCTATGACTCTGACCACGAAAGGAAAACCATCATTTAACAGCACTACATGCTGAAGACTTGAGGTTTTAGTGACTATAAAGTGAATCAGTGACACGTGGCTTTCGAAATAGCTAAGATGATAGTAGGCTGCATTTTTTAAAAAGTATTCAAAACAAGGCAAGTGGTACTGTTATAGAGGCATCACCTTACCACTTCTTATAGTTAGCTCTAGTACTATATAATATGAACTTAGGGCAGAATTACCAGGATGGTGGGAGAAATGTGAAACCATATCATCTGAAAAATGGGAAAGGCTCTGCTAATGTTTATTCAGTACTACTGGTAAGTTTAAAAGTTTAATAGCTGAGTTATATAGAATATATAGTTATATACAGAATAAGGATTAGATTATAGCTCAGTGTAAACAAATTATAAATTCCATTACAAAAATACAGACTTTAAAGTTGTAAGTCCTTTATTAGCACTAACACAGAACTGAATGGCAGCATGATGGCTAATGAAAGTTCAAGGCAAGGTAGGGAGTTAAATTCCATAGCCTCTACGGTCTTTTCCAATTCTTAGCGTCATACAGCTCTATAAAGCTAATTCACACAGATATTAGTAAAGGAGATATTGTTATGCCCCTTAGGATCTCTATAGTTCAATAAATAATAGTGCCATAACCCTAAAAATATAGTTCTGTGTTTAAAAAAAAAAAAAAAAAAAAAAAACAGGCAGGTTAAAAGGACATAGAAGCCAAATTGCAAAGTTATATTGGGAACTTTGGCTCCCAATGGCCAAAGCTGGAGGACAATTTGAGCAACAAATTAATCATGGTAATAATGGATTATAAACCAAAGAATAAAATATCCATGACTCCATAAAATGAATAACTGAAAAGGGAAAAAATCTTCCTTACAGAAGAATTTCAATAAATAAATGTACAAGGAGTAAGAAAAACAAAAAAAAAACAACACACAGAAAGCCACTACTAGAACTTCACATTAATAATTGCTGCAGGAATGATTCACCAATGAATGCTAAAATTAGTGGCATTTCTGAACTCATGCCTATTTAGAAATTGCCATTATATCTCTACTTGAAATTAGGAGGAATTATAGCATAACTATTATTTGGAACAATGATTTTGTTCCAAATAATAGCCACTAAAGATTGCTTTTAAAAGTTTTGTTGTTTTTTTTACATTAAACTATACCAACTTATGAAATTGGGAACAGTTTCCATATTTAACACAGTTACTCACGTAGGTGTGAAAGCCAAAAAACTAGGAGTTATTTTAGTTTCCTCCTTCCATCCTGCATTCAATACATCAGTGTCGTGTGAGCTGTACTTGCAAAGTACAGCCGAAATTCAACTACTTCTCACCACTTCATTGGCCATTTCCCTAGTCTCAGCCACTTTCTGCCTGCAGTAGTTTCCCAACTATTCTTCCTGCTTCCTATTCCCTTACAATTTATTCTCAACATTAGCCCTAATATACACATACACACACACACGTGTGTGTGTATGTGTGTGTGTGTATCCCTTTAATCTGCGTAAAACTCTCCAATGGCTTTGTTAGCATAAAATTTGCTCATTACCTTGGTCTATAAAGCCCTATAATCTGAACCCTACCTACTTCTCTGACTTCATTTACTACCATTCTCATCCCCTTAGTGCTCCTTTCTAGCCTCAGTGGCTGTCTTTTTTTCCTCAAGCACATCACCCTAATATTCCTGCCTTACTATCTATCATTACCTATGCTGGAAGGCCTCTTTTCCCAGATCTATGTCCATCAGTAAGGTCACCTTAGTTAGGATCTATAAGGAAGTCCTTTTTGAGGCGGGCTCCCCTGCCTTTCACTTGCTCCATCACCTGTCCCCCCACCATGGCATTTATTACTACATGAAATAATATGTATTTACTCGTTTATTATCTATTCTCCAACTTGACTGTAAGCACATAAGAGAAAGAACTTGGTTTGTCTTGTTTATAAACTGTATCCACAACATCTGAAACAATACCTATAACAAAGCGGGCCCTCAAATATTTACAGAATAAATATTTTTAAAACACTGAAGTGCGAAAGTGGGAAAAATAGCAGAAGGCCTGGATTAGAGCCAGATTTCTCTCTCTGAAGTATGTGCAAAAAAAGAATGTAAGCCTTTTGAGATAAACTTTAATAATGAAGGAAAACAAAGGAATATTTTTAACTACCTTAATTTTTTACAAATTCAGTTGCTTAAAATAACCCTTGAAAAATAAAGTATAACATTGATGACTAAATTTTAGAGATTCTGCAATAGTCCTATACCAAAGAAAAATTTTATTGAAGTGTAGGTTACTCGTTATTTAAAAATACATGGGGAAAGACAAATATACAAAGGCATTATCATACAACTGATTTCTAAAGTCAATACTTTTGAAATATAAAACATTGATCATTATCCCCAAAAGTCAGTTTATTGAAACAAATTGATTTTTAAGTTGATGCTATAATGCTTTTCATTCAATTTTGTTTACAAATGTTACTAGGTTTTTCAGTTTCATCATGTATCAGAACTTTGTTTTTTGGGAATATTTACTTTTCAAAGTTGTATATAGTTATTTCTTGCAATTAATTTCAGCAACTATAGGAAGCTCCTCTAAGTTACAAGAATTCAGTATGGCTGCTACTTTAGAAATAGTTACCATATTGGGTTATCTACATGAAGACTCATGTATTGAAAGTCCAAATATTATTGGGAAAGTATGGGGATTGAGGGCGAAAGGACTAAGAAAATATAATATTATCTTTTACTGCAGACCTACTAAAAAAGACTCCATTATTTATTTTGGCACTATTGCTAGAGAAGCAGTTGCTGCCAAACCACAAGTTGGCTATATAATTTGTCCATTTTATATTTCCTTTTCTAAAGAACGACTGACTTAAATAATTAGATTGCTCAATCAAATAAGCATAGACTTTTAAATTACCATGTACTTTAACTGTGTGAAATAAATTATTTTCTTAATTGGTTTAGCAGCCTTGTGTCTGCAAAGGCAGCAAAACCCACTTTGTTTCAAAATTAGAAGGCTTACTCAGAGGCTATTTGTAAGATGCCTATCTTCTATCACCAATCAGTCATGAACATGGACCTTCATGAACTCAGTAACTTAATAAATGTAAAAATGATCTCATCCATCAACACACAATGTTGAGCCAGCAAAATGAAAAAAAAAAAAAAGCACACTCATAAGGTAGGAATTGGCTTGTATAAACAAGAAAGTATATATCCTCTTATACAGCACAAGAGGAGTATGTATGGTAACAAAAACAATCTACAGTAAACTTGTAAAGAGATGATTTTGGTTTACATGTTAAGTCAGCTTAAACTGACCATGACTGAATGATTGGAAAGTTTTTTCTCTTAACATAATGCCCATTCATTATAAACTAAGCTAGTCTTAGTTTCTTATAAATCTCTCATTTCCTTGGATTTATCTAGTACACCCTCACTTTATAGCCATTTAACTTATAAGCTGGGCCTGCCCAGCATACCTATAAAGCCTCTCTTCAGAAATATACCAGATGCATTAAACACAGGCATCCTCTAGTAAAACTCTGCACTTCAAAACAGTATACGAGGAACCAGCAATAGGCTCTCCAATATAAATACTTCTCATTTCATACTATCATAGAAACAGTGCAGTTTACTAACCACTCCTTCCTTACAGGAAACTCAGTAGCTGTAAAAATTTTTTCTTCAGTTTTAAAACTTTTCAATACTTGTTAATTCCAAAAATCCGAACACCATGTAGCTGTGGCATTTTGGGAATGAGCACACTCAGGAGAGAAGCTGTGTTTAGGATGAAGTGAGTTGGATCATACTTCGTATAGAAACTTGCCAGAAAATATCTGTAGAAATAAAAGTTAAGAATATATATAAGATCTAAAAATAAAATTACTTAAAATATTTTAAAATTTTAAAGGTAGAAAAAAGGCCATTGAAACATAGATACCTAGAGGCAGAACTACGTTTTTTTATAATCCTCATCCAAGGATATTTTTTCCATTGCTTTTCAGAGTGGGGGGAAGGGAGAGGGAAGAGGGAGAAACACTGATGTGAGAGACACATCGATTGGTTGGCTCCTGCATTAGCCCCAACAGGGCCAAAGACTGAGCATGCAACCCAGGTATGTGCCCTTTACTGAATCGAACCCTAGACCCTTCAGACTAAAGACCCGTACTCTCTAACCACTAAGCCAAACCAGCTATGGCAAGGCAGAACCATTTTTAAGCACTAAAACAAGGGGAAATTTTTTAATTTGGGGACCTAAATTAATTTTATTTAGAATTTAAATATTTTAATGGAGGCATATATGCACATTTTGTACTTCTACAATTATGTTAAATGCATTTAATAGAATATGTTTGCTACTTAGTATCCTTTACAGCAGGCTTTCAAGCTAGGGTTCATATGCTCCCTGAAATTTCAGGTGTAGTTTTGTATTTATGTGTGTGTGTTTCTGAAGAGAAGATCCAGATCCAAAGTATACATCATATTCTCTAAGGGTTTTGTGACCCACCAAAAGATTAAGAACCACTGTTGTACAGTTGCGAAAAATGAGGTTAGGGCATTAGTACAATTAGTATCTTTGAAAGAAAACAAATTTTTGATTGCCCTTTTGATGTTCTCATTTCCATAAGGTAGATGAACAGGTCTATAACCAGTTTAACAGGAAACTTGAAAGACACTGTTGTAAAATTCCAGTTGTTTTGCTATAACTGAACACATACATATTCAAAGACACCCAACATCTGAAAATTTGTTTCAACAAGACTAACCCAACTGTAAGGCCATAAACCATTGAGTCAGAATGTCTAGTTTTACCCAAGGGGTATATCAGAGTACAGATACATCATCTGGCCCCTAAGAAGAGTATCCTAATATAGACAGGATTTAAAGAATAAAATATCATAACTAAGAAGTTAGTTTGCATATGAGTGTATTGTTTAATTCATATTTTTAGAGACATAGGAAAGTATTCTTATAGCTTTTCTGCTAAGTACTGTCAGTAGTTTCTCATAAGGGGAGATAAGTGTTTGGATATGGTTTAAAAGGCAAAAACTAAAAATATCAGACTAACTATATCAGAGAGCTTTAACACACCATTTTCAGAACCATCTAAATTGAGAAAGTCTATCATCTTGAACTTACTTTACTAACTATATAGTGAGAAAATTCTTTGAAAATAATCCATATTCTTTAATCTTTACTTTAAACCCCTTCTTCCTGCTTTCATACACTTGAACACTGCTTTTTTACTCCACTCAATGAACAAAATAGGATACCACTTGCATTTAGTAAACTTATTTGATTTCCCATCAGCATTATAAGTTAAATCTATAATCTGTTATGTTGGAAATAATGAATCTTCTTGGAATGGCTTCTCATCGTACCGTAGCATACGTCCCCTTTATATCTTTTAATGAAAACTAATTGTGTGTGTAGACAATATAAAAATTACTTGACTTATTAAAAAGAACTAGAGAAACTTCCAAGGAGATGCAAAACCAGGTGGGAATCAGTGTAACAGTGTTTATTTGCCAAGGATATACTGGAAAGAGACCTGTACTAGAAATTAGAAGTTTTTGGTTTCATCTGGGTTTTTGACTCCAACTACCTACAAGATCTGGAGCAAGGTAATGCACCTAAGACTGTTTCTTTATCTAAAAATCTGGGATAATGCTGCACATCCCAACTACTTGGCAAATAATGAGTCAAACAAGAAAACATGAAAGCACTCTGAAAAGTATCAATGCTATATAGCTGGTTTTAATGCTGCTTCTTCAGTTATGTAAGGAATTTAATTATAGAATACTTGAAATCATTTTTAGAAATATGGACTAAAGGCTTAAATGTTAGTAGATTCAAAACCAGAAAAATCCTAGAAGAAAACACTGGTGGTAAAAATCTCGGACATTACTCATAGCAATATTTTTCCTGATATATTGCCCCGGGCAAGGGAAAATAAAGAAAAAAGAAACAATTGGGACTAGAGCAAACTAAAGTTTTTGCACAGCAAAAGAAACCATCAACAAAATGAAAAGAAAACCCACTAAATGAGAAACATATTCGCCAATGATACATCTGATGGGGGGGGGGGAGGCATAATATCCAAAATTTACAAAGAATTTATAGAACTCAATACCAAGAAAACAAACAATCTGATTTAAAAAATGGGCAAAGAACCTGAATAGACACTTCTCCAAAGAGGACATACAGATGGCCAATAGACATATGAAAAGATGCTCAATGTCACTAACCATCAGAGAAATGCAAATTAAAATCACAATGAGATATCACCTCACACCTGTCAGAATCGCGATCATCAATAAATCAACAAATCACAGTTGCTGACGAGGATGTGGAGAAAAGGGAACCCACATGCACTGTTGGTGGGAATGCAGACGATGAAGCCACCGTGGAAAACACTATGGAGTTTCCACAATACATTAAAAATAGAACTACCTTATAACCCAGCGATTCCACTTTTGAGAATATATCCGAAGAAACCCAAAACATTAATTTGAAAGAACATATGCACCCCTATGTTTACTGAAGCATTATTTACAATAGTCAAGATGTGAAAGCAGCCCAAGTGTCCATCAGTAGATGAGTGGATAAAAAAACCTGTGGTACATTTACACAATGGAATACTCGGCCATAAAAAAAGGGGGAAATCTTACTCTTTGCAATAGCATGGATAGGCTAGAGTATTATGCCAAGTGAAATAAGCCAGTTAGAAAAAAACAAGTACCATATGATTTCACTCATATGTGGAATCTAATGAACAAAATTAACTAACAAAATAGAAACAGACTCATAGATAGAGAACAGATTGACAGCTATAAGGGGAAGGGGGTTGCAGGCTGGGTAAAAAGGTGAAGAGAGTAAGCAAAACAAACCCAAAAAACAAAAACAAAATCAACAAAACCTCATAGACACAGATGACAGCATGGTGATTACCAGAGGGAAGGGAAGGGGGGTGGGGGGAGATAGAAGAGGGTATAGTGGGGATAAATGGTGATGGAAGGAGACTTGACTGGGTAGTGAACACACTATACAATATACAGATGATGTATTATAGAATTGTATACCTGAAGCCTATATAATTTTATTAACCAATGACACCCCAATAAGTTCAATTAAAAAAAAAAAAGAAAAGAAATACAGATGTTGTACACAGGTACATCTCAATTGGCCTTTTTTCTGATAGTCTTACTGAAAATTCATCAGATAGTAGGCTTTATACATGTATTATAATGCAATCAACACTTTAGAGATGAGGAAACAGGCTTTCAAGAAAATGGCCAAGTCACATAGGTAGAAAGCAGCAGTACAGTTAAATACATATTTAAGGCTGTTTGAATAACCATTATTCTTGTTACTGCATTTATCTTTGTTAGATTATACAAATCATTTTTCTTTTGACAACTGTTTTGTTTAAAATAACTTTAAAATTTCCTCTAAGTGCTATAAGAATACAAGAAAGAAACCCAGCATTTTATGATCAGTTTATTCTCTTCATTTGAAAATGCCTTCCTTTACTTGAACATCTATCCAAAACCTAACCTCCCTTAAGTCCCAGTTTAAGAAATATTTTATAATGCCTCCAAGAAGTCTTTCCAGCTACTCCACACTCCACTTATTCCACTGTGGATATATTATGTATAAGCTATGTGGTACAGATTATTTGATTAAGATATATGTGAAACATGTATTACATGTAAGCAACTATAATGTGTGGAATTCAAAGCAATTTATGCACTTACAAATTCTTGAATAAAATAAAACATTTATAATAACAAAGAAATAATATAAAGTGGCATAAATAAGAGTAGGTAACTACTATGGGAGTTCAAAGCAGAGCCTTATCATTGAAGGTTGGGTGCTCAGGAAAAGACCTCACTGAGGCAGCAGAATTTAAATCTTGAAAGAAAGACATAAATTAGGAAAGGAGGGGCAATTTCAGGTAAAGTGATTTGAACAAAGGCATAGAAATAGGACTACACATGCAGTATTTAAGAAAAGCTGCTTAGAAGAGCTTGACAAGGTGGGAGTTGGGTGTATATGAACATAGAAAAAAAAGGTAGGAACCATTTTGTGGAGGTCCCTGAGTGTCAGGTAATAGAAAATTAAATACTAGATACAAGGTTAAATGCTTACAAATAAACGTTGTATCCTTTATTTCTTATGGTAGGTGCCACAGGCTAGAATTTTATTTATGAGCAAACCAAACTGGCTGAGTGATTGAGGATTCAATCCAGGTCTGTCCTATAAATAAAAGCCTAACCTCTCTTTTCTCTAAACCAGTGATTTTCAACTGGTGTGCTATAAGAATCTGTAAAACATGCAACACCTGACTATTTAGTCAGGGGCACTGACCTCTTTTCCCTTAATTATCAAATAAAAAAATGACAACAGCCAGCAAAAAAGCTGCCCAGTGTGAATGAATCAAAATTATACCTTTTTTCTTTGTCAGACTGGCAAAAAATACAATATTTTTTGGTGTGCCGCAAAATTTTAGTAATCATGTTTGCCATGAGATGAAAAAGGTTGAAAATCACTGCTCAAAACCATACTTTCTCTCCCAAGGAGTCTGAACATCCAAATGGAGCAGGTGGTGAATAAAATTTGTCTGAAATTATCCAAATCCTTGTTTAGAGAGATCAAGCTGATAGTGGAATATAAATAACAGTGGAATATAAATAAATAGTTTTCTCATAGGCAACTTATGAACGTGAACTAGAATATATTTGACCTGTATATCCTAGAATGTCTAGGTGTACTGAAGAGCATGTAATGTTGTCTCCATGTTACTAAAGTAAAAACTGGTTTATTACCAGCTTATTAAAGATTTTGCCTGTATTTTATCCTCTATCTGAGGTAGCTATTTACTGAAAAGAGGTTTTTAACAAAATATTTCTAATTCAAATTCAATCTAATAAAACAATAGCTGCCTCCCATCCAATCCTCCTCATACCTAAAAATTTCCACCACTTACAGAATTATTGGAGAAATTGTGAAAAACTTCCGTGAAGATGTAAACTGTACTCCATAGTCCAGTTGTTCCCAATGAGTTAGGAGCCTTNACTGTACTCCATAGTCCAGTTGTTACCAATGAGTTAGGAGCCTTGCTTTACCCTGGTCAGGAGTTTCAAAAGGTGTTCCTTTTACAGCATGCAAAAATACATACATCCCCTGGAAAACAAACAAGGAAGTATATAATCAACATCAAATACAAAACTCGTATTTGTCAGTTAAGCATTAGGATAGTTCCAGACTATTTGTGACAAAGTCTATGATTTATTTTACAGCTCAAGTTTTAAGCTTTCGTATTATTGTGAAAGCTGTGGCCAGTTTCCTCATAGTACAATAAAACTTCCAGAGGCATATAGATATTATTTGGTAAAAACCAGTGAAAATTCAACCAATAGCAACCTTCATTCATCTTTTATTAAATTGAAAATAAACAAAAAGTAACATCAGGGTCACATCATCATGTTTAGATTTTTCTAACACTTTTCCTACTAGGAAATAGGGTTACCTTTTCCCCAATGTGTAGGAAAAGTTTAGTGTCATATTAGTAAATCTGATAATATTTATAGAATATAAAAAATACAAGTTAGTAAATAATAATAATAAAATAAAATCTCTGTATTGGGAAAAATGGCTTTGAAAATATTTAATTAGGATTGTCTTTGTCTCAATAGTTCTCTTCCAAAGCAACAAAGATGTAACAGGCATAATATTTAATTCAATTTGCTTTTAAAGTTACAACTGTACCTCAACGGTGTCTGTTTTGAAGTTAGTTTTTAAAAATTAAAAAAAAAAAAAATTACTAAAAGCCAATCTGTTCAGTGATATGTTTAAACATCTAAGTTTGTGGTTAATTAGGGAAAAAACAATGTATACTAGATTTGTTTTCCTTGAGATTATGATACTATTTAGATTGATAGGTAATGCTTTATTGCAGGATAAATGTCTGAGAAACTGTTAACAATAAAACCTAAATATTATCATGAAACAGTTTTCCCACTAGAACTCATGATGTGATGCCATTTTTTCTACTTCTACTTTTAACAAATATATGGGGGGAAAACAAAAATTAGTGATTTGAAATTTTACATTATTAGTAGAGGTTGGGAGCCCTTATTTTCAAAGCTTAGTCTATCTACTTCTTTATTCCATTAGGCAACTCAAAAGTTGTTTAGCTGCAATAGCAGCTAAGCTATACATTAATAGACTCATGTTCACTTGGATTTAACTCAATATACATTTAATAAGTGGTTTAAATGTATGGGACACAGGACATGCATGCATATATGGAATTGAAGAAGACAAGCAGCCTTAAAAATGTCAATCTTCTAAGATAAGGATGAGGAACCTTTTTTCTGACGAGGGCCATTTGGATATTTGTAACATCATTTGAGAGCCACACAAAATTATCAGCTTAAAAATTAGCTATGAAATAAGTGCCTATATTTTTTGAATTTTGAGACCAGCCTGCAGTTGCCTTGGCAGGGTCAGACCAAATGATTTCGTGGGCAGTATATGACCTGAGGGCCGGACGTTCCCCACCTGCTCTAAGAGATGGTAAGGGGGAAAAAGATGCGTAAACTACTAGAATGTAGGACAGCAATTGTACAATCATGGTACTCAGAAAATGCAGAGGAGGAAAAGGTTACTTGCTGCTGAGGCAAAAGCCTTGATGCTACCTTGTGAAGTATCTCATTCTTGAACGTCCAGCTCAAATGACAACTCTTTAGTGAAGCCCTCCTCACTAGTAATAACTTCCTATCTACATGGTTGAATTTTATTAATACTTTTATTATAGCACAATACATATACTGTGATGGAGCTGTTTACATGTTTGCTTTCCCATTAGCCTGAATACCTCAGGAACAAGGGCCTGCATACAGCAAGTATTAAATATTAAGTCAAGGGATGTTTGTTCTGTAAGCATAAGGAAAAACATTTTCACATGGAAACTATGTGAACTATTTTAAAGGAAACTATGAAACAGAAATTTTAAGCTTTCAAAGTCCCAGGAATATGTGGCCCAAAAAAGTTGAGTCTACTCTAGATCATGTAATGTGTTAGAATTATCAAAGAAACAACAATCCTGGTTCTAGAATATATGTAATATAGTATTTAGAATATATGTAATATTCAGTTTATTTTATATATCCTTTTTAATGAAAAGGAATAAAATTTTATCTGGCCATATATCTTCTACTCCATTATTTTTAATAGTTTTTCTATGAAATTTTAGTGATGATGATTTATACCCACATCAAAAGAATTAGGAAAAAATGTAACTCATTGTTAGCCCTTCACAAATATTTACTGACACAAAATGCGAAGAATTCTCATTCACCTTAAAAGCTAGGCAAAAAATTTGGCAAAGTGTTAATACCTCTACGGTGATCTGTAGCACTGAAGAAAAACAATCACTACAGGTTTCCACTGTGATTTCAGAAACGCAAAGACTATTTTTTCTAATCAGGGATACCAATTAGGTCTCCTTTTCTATATTTAAAAGCATTCAGTGTGTATTTCACACTTTTAATTGGTTTAATGTAGGCTATCTTCAAAAGAAACTTAAATTTGGAGTCATATAATTGCTACAGCTATATCTGGTTAGTTAGGTTTTTAGTGTGGTGAACTGGTAAGTCAGCAGTTTGCTTCTCTATATGTTGTCAACTTCCCATCCTTTTCCATTGCCACGTACTGTGCTTCAATCTCAGTCAACCAGACTGAAAACATGAGGGGGTGAGATGACTTCTAAAGTATATTTAATACAAATGTCATTGGAGAAGGAAAAATTACATAATACAGATTAACTTATTCAGCAAACATTCAAATAGGTATTTGGAGATAGCCCGGCCGATGTAGCTCAGCAGTTGAGCATCAGTCTAAGATTCAGGAGACAGCAGTTCGATTCCCAGTCAGGGCACATAGAAGGGTTACGGGATTATCCACCGTAGGGACTGTGCAGGAGGCAGCCAATCAATGACTCTCATCATTGATGTTTCTCTCTCTCCCCCCTTCCTCTCTCTCCCTCCCTCCAAATTCAATAAAGACTTTAAAAAAAAAAAAAAAAGATAAATTGCTAATTATAAAACTATCATAAATACAAGAAAGCAGCATGAAAGTTTTGTAGCTTCCTAGAGGAGGTGATACTTGAGTAGAGTTTTCCTGAACAAGCAGAAATCAGTCAGGCAGAGCAGGAAGAAGGTAGGGGTATTAAAATAGAAGAGCTTAAGTCAAAGCAAAAAAGTGAGACCAAGACGATTTGCATTATCGTTAGTACATAGCTTGTGTTTGGAGATGGGCTGAGATAAAATTGAGTTCCCTTCCTTTCCTCCACAGTTATCAACTGGTTTTGTATCTCACACAAGAAACTGAGCATTTTACTGTGAGTGTAACAGGGAACAATGAAGGATTTAAATAGTGTGACTTGAGCAGACATGCATTTTTAAACTATTGCTCTACCAACCAGGAATGGAAGAGAGCTCAGGAGTATCAAGGAAACCACTTACCTATTGCAGTAATTTTCAGCCTTTTTCATCTCATGGCACACAAACTAATTACTAAAATTCTGCAGCACACCAAAAAATATACTTTTTGCCAATCTGACAAAAAAAAATAAGTATAATTTTGATTCATTCACACTGGACAGCTATTGTTGTTAGCTGTTGTCATTTACTTGACAATGTAAGGGAAAAGGTCAGTGCCCTCGACTTAATAGTCAGGTATTGCATGTTTTAAAAATTCTTGCAACTCACTGGTTGAAATTGCTGATCTTTTAGAGTAAATGACAAAAAAATAAGTGCATGAATTACAGCAATGCCAGTGGGGATTAAGTTGAGACAGTAAACAGAATAGACAGGTATTTGACTAAATGAATAAGGAATATATAGGAAAAGGAGTTATCTGCTAGTTTGCGTGGACGGCCCTGATTTACAACTATTCTTTTGGAGTAGTTATTAGTATAGCTCTTTTTACACTGAATACAATCTCAGTTTGAATGATACATTATATTAATCACTTTTCCTCTGACATTCAGCTATCTGGCTTGGCTTACTGGAAAGACGATGGTGCCTTTAGATTAGGAACAAAGTCAGAGGAATTGATTGTGGGTGGTAAGGAATAGATGAGGAATGGGTTCAATTTGAACTTGTTTGGTTTAAGGTGCAAGGTGATCTAGCAATATTAATTTGGGCATCATTCTTCTACGGGTAGAAACTGAAAATATGGAAAGATGAAGTAACTTGGAATATATAGCATAAGAAGAGATGAAGAAAAGAACCTTGGAAAGAGAGGGCAGGAAGTGCAAGAGGAAACAGAAAACATCAGAAATATATATAGGAAAAAGCAGTATCATGAAAGCCAAAGGAAAATAATTCCAATAAAAAGGATCGGATTAACAAGAAATATTTCAGAGAAGTTACTATTTAAAAACAGTTTTACCCTACCAAAGTCTATCGCTGAAAACGGACTAAAAGGACATTGCCATATATCTACCACATCACCCTTGTCCTCTCCAGTCAACTTTAAATACTCTCCAGAAGAAATTAAAAAAAATTAATTAAAAAAAATCTATTTCTACATTTTTCTGTCTTAATTCTAAGTTCTTAACTTTTTGAACATGTTTAAACAAACAGTTAATTTGAATTCAATTAAAAGTCTCAATTAACTGGATTTCTCTTCTTTCACTCTACTTTAACAAACTGTTAAAAAAATAAATAAACCCGACAGTGACTTTTCTTTAACAGGCAATTTCTAAGGTTGCATAATATGGTCAGCAGAGTTGATCAAACCTCTGATACTTTGCAGAGCTGTCATATAATACAGAAAAGTGATAAGTCAACATGAAGAAGCTAAGGCACCATAAGATCCTGAATCATATAAAATATAATTAAGCTCAAAATTTCTATACAGAAGTAGGAAAGCATATAATTTAGAAAGACTTAACAAGGACTGAAACCAAAGATGTTCATTAGAGTCCAAGAAACAAAATTACTTCTTCTGAAGTATTCTGGTTAATCAATATAATGTAGTAGCCTGAACTATAGTGTATTTGAAATTTTTGCTAAAATGACCTATTTTCTAGATTCTAGAAAACCAATAGAAGGAAAAAAAGTCTTACTTAGAAAAAGGGCCCAATGTTTAAATATAAAGTTTGATAAAATATATAATCCCATTTCAGACTTAAATTCTTCAAAATTGTCATAAATACTAAAAATTACTCAATTTTACACTTTAAATAAGTGAATGTAAAATGTGAATTATAGCTCATAAAATTGTTTAAAAAACCTAAGTCATGTGTTTTTCTTTATAAGAAACTTTAAGCTTTTTAAAAAATTGTGTTTAAATACACTTACCATAAAATGTACCATATTAACCATTTTTTAAGTGCACAGTTGAGTGATATACATTCACACTGTTACGCAACCATCACCACCATCCATCTCCAGAACTCTTTGCATCTTGTAAAACTGAAACTGTACCCATTAAACAGTAACTCCCCATCCATTCTCCCCTAGTCCCTGATGATTAAAACTTAAGATTTCAAGTGTTTAGTATAAGTGAAATTCTTACCAAATTATGTATAACATTTGTTAAGGTCCAAGCAACAGGAACACTGAAGAAGGGAATACTGAGTAAGACTATGTGAAGCAAAGCAACTCCCAATGCATATGTCAGCCACATACCCCGGCTATTCATTACCCGGGTATTTGGANGTGAAGCAAGCCAACTCCCAATGCATATGTCAGCCACATACCCCGGCTATTCATTACCCGGGTATTTGGATTCACCTCACTGTGGGCAACTCCAACATTCATGTTTGCTCTGTAGGAAAGCAACGAAATGAATCAACACCGACATAACTGGAAACCTAACTACTCCTAATTCTGCATGATAAAATAAGTGTTAACTAGGGTTATTTTTTCCTAGTTGTTCTGAAATAGAACACACCCTCCAAAATATGCTACTTGCAGGGATGCTGATAAAGGCAGTGAAGAATTCTTAATATCTGACTTTCTGGTAAGACAAACAAGCCTTGTTTTTATGGTTCTCATTGAAAAAATAAAGTTTAAATCCCTTTCCTAAAACTTGTCTTCTGGCATGACGGTTTTACTAAATGAAATAATGGGCAGGAAAACTCAAACTGAAAGAGAAAATCTACATTTTCTTATATCACGAGAGAAAAGTGAAAACTCAGGAGCTAAATTTATCAACAGAATAAATATAATGAAAGCAAAGCTGACCCAGCCAGTCTGTTGTAAGTAGCCAGACTCATATCTAATGTAAAAAAGAGTGGTCAGAGTTCAAATCACTCCTTTTGAATACTGAACCTGGAAGGAACACAAGGTAGTGGAAAATTTACATGGCCAAGGGATAAGGTTTGTTTCTCAATCTCGTGACACAATTAGGTCAAAACAACATTCTTTCTTCTGAATATTTTAACTCTAGTCAACTCAGCTTTTTTCCTTCTTTTTTAGGTTTTTTCTTTTTCCTTTTGAGTTCAAGCTGAACACCAAAGGAAGAACTGATAATAGTTCCAAGTTATTTTAATGATGATGATTGCTTGGGTCTAAGAATCCCTTAAACAAAATAAAACTGTTCTGAAGAATGCCTATCATCCCGGTAAAAACCGACCAGTGAGATTGGAGGGGAAAAACAGAGTCAGATTCTATTTCGAAAAGCTCTGATTTAAAAATATATAAACCCTTTCTATTACAGAGTTTGCACTGAGTGAGGAATTTCTCATAACCCCATCCAACAAGTGTTTCCAGAGTACAATGTCCCCTCCCCCCTAAAATCTATGGAAGAACCCAAGGCATCAAGGCTTGCAGCGAGGACAATTGGTTACACTAAAACGAAGCGAAAGTCTCAAATTTACATGTGCAAATATTGTTTCTAATCTAAACACCCACCACGTATCATACATTATTTTAATATGTTGTTATACTCAAAACACACCACCACTCAAGATCACTTTCCCACTTCCCATATGGGGAAAAAATGCTCGAAAGACACTTAAAATTGACATCTGAGCTGGAAGGCAAAGGTGGTGTGATACTGACCCTGCCCTCAGTTCAGTAAACCTTCCCGGGGAGTCTGCCGAGACCCCGGCAGACAAAGCCTCTCTGCTCAGACCCCGAGGGCGCCGTAAGGGCGGAGGGGAGGGGTCCCTGGCCGGCCAGCCCCACCCGCTGCCTCCCCCGACGCCGGAGCCCGGGGAGTGGAAGCTGAGCAGAAGCCGCCGCTGCTACCCCCGCAGCT